CTGCTATTAACAGTTTGGTATATATGAAGCACATGGTAATCATAAACCAACAATCTGAGAGATATACAAGAAATAAAGAAAAATTAATACAAAACAACACCTCAGAAAGTTATCAACATAGAAGAGAAGAGTGCAAGGGAATAAGAAAGGAACAGAGGAAAACTATAAAAACATACAAAAACGATTAATAAAATAGCAATAACTATATACCTATCAATAATTATTTTAAATGTAAATAGATTAAATGCTCCAATCAAAAGGCAAATGGATAAAGAAGATATGGTGCACAGAGGGGCTGGCAAAAGTAACTTTACAGTTGTGAGTATGTGAGACAGTTTATTCTTGTATTATTATTTATTAAATTATTTCACATACAAACAACCAAACTGTAAACCTACTTTTGCCCACCCCTGTATAAACAAAGAATTATTACTTAGCCATAAAAAAAAAAATGAAGTCTTGTCATTTGTGACAACATCGACAGACCTGGAGGGTATTATGCTAAGTGAAATAGGTTGAACAGAGAAAGACAAATATCATATGATTTTAATACCCTCTAGGTCTATCCAAGTTGTGGCAGATGGCAAGATTTCATTCTTTTTTTACGGCTGAATCATATTTCATTGTATAAATGCACAACTTCTTCATCCATTCATCTACTGAAGGTTGCTTCCATATCCTGGCTATTGTAAATAATGCTGCAATAAACATATAGGTGATACACATACACACACACACACACACATACATACATATATATGTATATATATAGCCATGTTATTATTCATATTTTTATCTTTTCCCTCCTTTTTTAAAACTATGTTTTTATTGATTTTTTAGAGAAAGAAGGGAGAGAGAGATAGAAACACCAATGTGAGAAACATTGATCAGCTGCCTCCTGCACGCCCCCTACTGGGGATTGAGCCTGAAATCCAGGTATGTGCCTCCAGAGATCGAACCAGCCCCTTTCAGTCCATGAGATGATGCTCAATCCACTGAGCCACACTGGCCAGGCTCCCCCTTCTTCTTAAAGAAGACCCTTTAATGTTTCTTGTAATACTGGTTTGGTGATGATGAACTCCTTTAGCTTTTTCTTGTCTAGGAGGCTTGTTATCTGTCCTTCAATTCTAAATGATAGGTCCTTGCTTTTCATCACGTTGAATATTTCATGCCAGTCCCTTCTGGTCTGCAAAGTTTCTATTGAGAAATCAGCTGACAATCTTATGGGAGCTCCCTTGTAGGTAACTTTTCCTCTTGCTGCTTTTAAGAGTCTCTCTTTGTCTTCAAATTTTGACATATAATTATGATGTGTCTTGATGTGGACCTCTTTGGATTCATCTTGTTTGGGACTCTCTGACTTCCTGGACTTCTATGTCTATTTCCTTCACCAGGTTAAGAAATTTTTCAGTCATCACTTTTTCAAATAGGTTTTCAATTCCTTGCTCTTCTTGTTCTGACATCCCCATGATGCAAATATTGGTGCTTGAAGCTTTCTCAGAGGCTCCTTAAACTATCCTCATTTTTTAGATTATTTTTTCTTCCTGATGTTTGGATTAAGTGTTTTCTGCTTCCTTATCTTCCAAATTGCTGGCTTGATTCTCTGCTTTATCTACTCTACTCTTTTTTATTTTATTTTATTTTTGTTACAGATGTTTCTCCTTTTTTACCCCATTGACACCCTCCTCCCCATCCCCCCACACCCCATCCCTGGCTTTGTTGTCCATGTCCATTGGTTATGCCTACATGCATATAAGTTCTGTGGTTTATCTCTTCCTTCCCCCCACCACCCCCTTTTCTGAGGGTTGTCAGTCTGTACCCTACTTCCATGTTTCTGGGTCTACTCTATTCCTCAGACTGTTATGTTCATTATATTCCATAAATAAGTAAGATCATGTGGTATTTGTCTTTTTCTGCTTGGCTTGTTTTAGGATAATACTTTCCAGGTCTCTCCATGTCATCTCAAAGGATTTCTTTCTTACAGCTGCATAGTAGTCATTGTGTATACTCTTGATTTCCTGTAATGTATTCTTCATTTCAGTTAGTGTTGTCTTCATTTCTGACTGGTTCTTTGTAATATTTTCTATCTCCATTTTTATGTTTCCTATATCTTTTTTGTTGTTATTGTTGTTGTTGTTGTTGTTAATCCTCACCTGAGGATATTTTTTCCATTGATTTTTAGAGAGAGTAGAAGGAAGGGAGGGATCCTCAACCCTTTGGTGCATGGGCTGACACTCTAACCACTGAACCACACAGGTCAGGGCTGTTTTTATTTATTTTAGAGAGAGAGGAAGGGAGAGAGAGAAAGACATCAATGTGAGAGAGATACATCCATCAGCTTCCTCATGTATGCACCTTGACCAGGGATGAAATTCACAACCTAAGTATGTCCCCTGACTGGGAATTAGACTGGTGACCCTTTGGTGCATAAGACAAGCCAGGGATCGACCAGCAACCCAGGTACATGCCCTTGACTGGGAATCGAACCCAAGACCCATCAGTCCTCTGGCTGATGCTCTTACAGCCAGGGCTCCGGGTTGTCCTTACTCTGCCTAGACTCCGATGCCCCAGTGGGTAAGCACTCTGGGCCCCACCAGCCTCCTCTACAACTACTCACTTGACCAGTAAAACTCTGACCTTTACCGGCCAAGCCTGAGGCTGAGAAGGCACTGGGGTTCGGGGTATGGGGTGAAGGCTCTGGGAAGGCCCCACTCCTCCTGCAGCCCTGGAGAGTTTCTCCCCCTGTGGGGCAGCAGAGAAGGTGGTCCCAGCTGGGCCCGCTCACTCTGTGACACCAGGCACAGCCCTGCTGTGCAGGCCTAGTTTCCTCGCAAATCAAGCGGAGCCATGAATCCCACCGGATTCGGGGAGGAGAAGTGAATTCCCTCTCCGGGGATCAGCGGGAGGGCAGGCATTTCTGAATGGCCACAGCAGACATCACAGAGCTAAGAGCTACCACCAACCCCGAGGCTCACCATCCCTCTAGAAGTCAAACACTCTGTGTCCACAGGCATGGTGACATGCATCTACTGTATGTCCACGCGTGATGCCTGCCAGGTCCTCACTTATGTAAACTTTAAGAACCATCCCCCGGGGGCTCTGGCTGCAGCAGGAGAATAGCCGGCAGGAGGAGACTGGGTTTGGGAGGCCCTGCTGGGGAGAGGAGACAGTGGTAGGGAAGTGGGGATAGGAGGGAGATGGGGGGGCTGCGGGCTACGGGCCCCTAGCAGACCCTGCAGCAGCACAGCCAGAGAGCTCCCAGCCCAACCTGGCCCTCATGACCCCCTGTTCTATAGCAGCTGGGACCAGCTCCAGGCTCTCTCCCACTCCTGGCTTCTTAAAACAAGAACAGGAAGCATAGCGCCATGTGACAAGTACACAAACACTGGGAGGGACCACATCTGTTCTCCTCACTAGGAAAGGGTTCTGGGAGGTCCTCGGTCAAAGATCCCAACCCGACTCACGTGCACAGCAGGGCACATCACGGAGAACCCTCAGACAAACTCAGGGAGACAAAGCGGGCCCCCTCGGAGACACGTGACCGCAGCCCTTACTCCTGGGGACCGTGTCCCCATCAGGGGTCTCTGGGACCGAAGCCCCTGGTTGGATTTGCATCTTGGCAGCTGTGGGTTCAGGCGGGTGTGGCACCTCTGCCTGTTCTCATGAGCATGAAGGACACACTCCCCTCCTGTACCCTGGAGCCCTCTGGGGAGACGAAGCAGCCTGCTCCCCACTTGTCCCCGAACTGCCACCGTCAGCCACTGCCATTCTGTAAGGAGCCCTGGGGGAGGGGACAGAAAGCCCTGAGAAGAGCCCAGAGGACCAGGTCAGGAGGGGGTAGGGCAGGGACAGACAGACAGAGGAAGGGAGGAAGGAATGAATGAAAAGGCGAATGAATGGAACAGAAGAAAGCATGCAGGAGGGTGAAGCTAGGACAAAGCGGGAATGACCACCATCTGCACAGTGGTGCCTTAGGCTGGGACTCAGTCATACTCCTTCTTGCTCTGGGACAGTTCTTTTCCGCTTACAAATCACGCCTGCGCCTGACAATGGCCCACGAGACAGATATTCCGGGAAGCAGACCCAAACAGTAAGGAGGGGGCGGGGGGCAGAAGCCTCCCCTGGGCAAGGCTTCCTGGAAGAGGGTCACAAATGACAGCTAGGGCTCCTCTCCACGGCCCCCATGAGCGGGGGCTGTGAAACGTCAAAAAATCACACGGGGGGAGGGGGGGATAGGTCATGGGGGACGTGATGCCAGCAGCCAGGCTGGGGGACCGGCCCTGGGCAGCACTGAGTGCACCCCAGCTGGGGGACCGGCCCTGGGCAGCACTGAGCACACCCCGGCTGGGGGACCGGCCCTGGGCAGCACTGAGCGCACCCCGGCTGGGGGACCGGCCCTGGGCAGCACTGAGTGCACCCCGGCTGGGGGGCCGGCCCTGGGCAGCACTGAGCGCACCCCGGCTGGGGGACCGGCCCTGGGCAGCACTGAGCGCACCCCGGCTGGGGGGCCGGCCCTGGGCAGCACTGAGCGCACCCCGGCTGGGGGACCGGCCCTGGGCAGCACTGAGTGCACCCCGGCTGGGGGGCCGGCCCTGGGCAGCACTGAGTGCACCCCGGCAGGGCAATACTCATATACGGAGCCTCCAAACTCCCTCACTCATGACCCTGGGGGAAGACCCAGGTTGGAGAACTGGCATGGCCTCTCTGAAGGGGCCAGCACTGGTCACTGTGATCAGCGTGGCCCAGACCAGTGACACTGTGGCAATGCCTTCTCTGAGCCTCATGAACCCTGGAGCTGGGAATCGACTCATATACCATCTCCCTGCCTACACTGTCATTGTCTCCAAACCCCCATCTATCCTATGCACATGCCTGCTGCCTGCTTCCTTGCTGCAACCCAAACCCATGTGGCACCCACATACGCACGCGACATACGCACCTTCACTCTTGCCACTGGTCACAAAATCCCTGGGAGGGGCCAGCTACCACCTCCCCGTACTCACCGTCCAATGTCCGAGCAGACCTTGGAGTCAGCGGCGACCGCAGCGTGGGCAAAGGCCGGGGGGGCGCAGGGGGAGTGGTGGCGAGAGAGGACCACAGCAGGCACGATGATGGCCAGGGCCAGCCCCAGCCCCAGCAGCACCATGCCGAATGTGGCTCCGCGGCCCTGGGCCATGGCTCTGCCGCGCCGGGCGTAGGGGAGAGAGGGGAGGCCGGTGGGCCGACAGGCCAGGGGACAAACAGATGCACAGACAGTGTTGTGGTTGAATGGACAAGACAAATCGCAGATGGACTCACAGAGGACTGGACCGATAGACAGATGTGGCCCAGGGACAGATAAATGGATGGATAGGCCAGACAGCTAGAGAGAGGATAGCAAGAGAAGATGGTCAGATAGACAACGGGACAGAGGCAGGATTACAGATGGACAGACAGGTGTACAGATGGACAGTGGACAACCAGGCAGACAGGTGGGTGTGTGGACAGATGGCTCGTGGCGGCGGACTGCTCCCTCCTCCGAGGCTTGCTACGGCGGGAGAGCTAGCTGCGTGCTTGAACTTGCAGTTTTCAGCTCCTGCTCTTGGCCCTGGCATGAGGCCAGGGAGCAGGGTGTTCATGGGGAATTTTTCCTTCTAGACGAGCAAACCACAGCAGTTAACTCCCTCACTGCCATGCCCACGACCCGCCCCAGCAAGCCTAGTGGTACAACTGCCCCTCCTCTCTGCCCGCTGGTGCCCTGGCTCCCCCGCCACATGTGCTTGAGGACTTGCCATCTGTGACCCTCAGAGCTGGGGACAAGGCTCTCAGGACACCCACAGCCACCTCCCAGTTCCCAGCAAAGCCTGGCCAGCAGGGCTCAGAGAAGCAAGGGGCCAGGATGGAACCCTGATTCCCACCCTTTAGGCATTGCACTGCCCAGCAGCAGCTCCCCTCAGCACACCCAGAGCCAGAGGACACTGGGGGCGTCAGGGCCACAGAGGTGAGAATGAAGGGAGTAAGCGACACACAGAGGGGGGACCCAAGGCCATGCCACTCAGGACCCAGCTTAAGCCTCCGTTCAGCCACAGCCTGGCCGGAGGATGAGATGAGGAAGGAGTGGGCTGTGGGGGTGTCCAGAGGGCATTTGACTTCTGGGTCGGCTTTAAAGGCAGGACCACTCAAGAGCAACAGTGCCTGAGACCACAAGATGCCAGTGCAGTGAGTGCAGACAGGGCGTGTGTCCAGCCCTTGGCACCCAGTGCCCACCAGACCGTCCACCCCTGGGGCCTGCTTTCCCGGAAATGCCACTGTGGGCCTCTGGGTAGTGAGGCTGCCCTTCCACCCGCATCTCTGCCCTGCCCTGCCGTCTGCTTCCCTGTGTCCATCTATGCTCCAGTCACTCCTGGGCAAGCCTCCTCTCCTAGGAACACTGCCTGGGCCCTGCCCTGCCCAGACTTCAGGGTACCCAAATGGGAGGTGGCCCCTTGACCAGGCTCAGCAGGGGCACAGTGGGCAAGGCTGCAGGCTGGACTTCCATCCACATAGTTCTCCCACAGCCCCTGCATGTTGTCCCCTTTCCAGGTCTCTTTACACCCGCAGGCACAGAGGTCTGTACCTGCACAGCCATGCAGCTTGCCAGGCCCCCAGTCCAGAGCCCTGGTCAGCCTGCATCGGAGAGGCTACTGGGCACAATTTCCCATAGCCTGTTCTCACGGTTGCTCGTGGGGGTGGGGAGGGCTGTGGGCACCTCCTCCTACCCCTACCCCCACTCCCACGCCACAGTGACATTGCTTAACCAGGAACCACAGTGCATTCCTGAGCCAGGGCCAGCCCAGTGGGGTGGCATCGTTGGCAGGGTCAGGAGTAGGACATCCAACTTCCTCTCCCCAGCCATCCTGGTCAGGCAGAGGCCAGGGTGCAAGGGCCACAGAGCAAAGGCCCAGGAAAGGACTGGCGTCGTGCTGGCCCGGCCAGAAGTGCAGCTGGGTGGGCCCATACAGGAAGGGCCCTGAATGTCTGTCCAGGCAGTGAGGGTCAGGAGGCAACAGGAAGGAAAGAGTCCCCCAGACCCCAGAGAAGCCTTCTGCTGAACTCCAGGGATCCTGCGGAACTGGGGTGCACCCTGTGCTCATGTCAGGGCCCAGGGAGCTTCATGGCCAGCCCCGCTTCCACCAGGACTGAAGCCCGCGCCTCAGGCCTCAGTCCTCTCCCGGAGAATGTGGTCAAGGCCTTTCTTCTGCAGCCAAAACGAGGGCTAAGGAGCCACTGGCACGTCCCACCAGCCTGGCCTCCATCCCGCCCCTGGGGATCCCAGAGGCAGGGCTCCGCCTCTGCAGGCACAGACCTGCTTCCCTGTGGATGCGTTAGAAGCGCCAGATGTTCCCACCTCTGGAAGGAGACAGCCTGGCCTCCACTGCCCTGTGCCCTGCCCTCAGAGACCCTACTTGTGCCCACAGGCAGGGCATTGTCCGACTGAAGGGCTGTGACCCCATCTCTCCTGTCTGCTTCCACCAGCCTTCCTAGCACCTCACTTCAGTTGCTACAATTGTATGTAAAGAACGAGTTAGACCCTGAGTGAGGGCAAGGGGCTGGTCCACGGAGGGAGAGACCGGGTGCTGTGTTCCCCCTAGACCTGCCTTCCCTGGGCTGCGTTCCCCAGCCACCGCTGGTCCAAGCTCTGACCCACAGGGATCTAGGGACCTCTTCCAGTTCTCTGTTTCCTGAGAACTGGGTCTCCTGGAGCTGATCACGGCTTAGGTTTCACTCTGGGTTTGTTCTTGGAAAGCTCCCCAGGGGCTGGCTCTGACCAGCATATTTTGTTCCAGTCTCTTGCCCAATCCCACTCTTCAGACCTCAGCTTCACCTCTGTTTGTCCTCAGACACCACCCAAGCTGTGGAGGTACCGGGTGCTCAGCACCGATGGGCTGCTCTGCCTAAGTGAAAGCCTGGGTTATGGCGCCCCCTGGTGGTCATCACTGGAAGCGCCGCTGCTCTGCCCAGGAAAGGGAGAGCCTGTGGGCCCCTGGTGCTGGGGCTCCAGAAGAACAGGGTTTAGCATGGGCCTTCCCTGCGCTCCCCTCCCCCCTGCAGGGCTCTCCACCCTTCTCCACCAGATGGCTCTGTTTTACAGAGGATGCTGAGGACCAGGGAATGGGGAGCCAGCCAGCACCTGGTGCTGTGGCCCCATTTATTGCACTGCTTTGCCACTCTCAAGAGGAGCCCATTCCCCGAAGTCTCAGTCCTGTGTAGACATCTTATTCCTGGGTGCAGGTCAGCCTTGCCCACGCTGCACACTCAGTAGCCTGCAGGCTCCCCGCCTTTCCTGGAGTCTGAGGCGGCCGCCCAGCCGCCAGCAGTGCGGACGATGGCCTGGACCACAGCAATGAAGGTGGAGGTGACCTGGGTGTGGTGGTGCCGGGCCTGCAGGGCTGTAGTCACCGCCTGGGGATAGGAGGGGACACAAAGGCTTCAGCAGGGCCCGAGGCACCCTCCGAACCACAGCTGTGTGGTCATGGGCTTCACAGCCTCAGACGATGCCATTTCTGGCCAAGTGGCCAGGGAGAGCAAGTTGGGGGCGGCTGGGTCTGCTGGGTTGCTCTGGCGCACGTGGCCTGGCCCTCACTGCACGGGGGCTCAAGAATGTCCAGGCAGTGGTGGTGAGGCCATCTGTTTCTGGTAGAGGACACCAGCCATTCCCCCTCCATGATGACCCAGGAGATCCAGACGCCACGCTGTGACTCGGTTTCTCCACCTCCCACCCTACCTGGTCAATGTCTCTCTCCAGGGTTGTGGTGTTGGGCAGAAGCTGGTTGTGCAGCCGGGGCTCCTCCACCGCCCTCTTCACATCGTAGCCAAACCACAGGCTGTGAATAATGGCCTGGGGGCGGGAGGGGAATGGGGTCAGCATGGCCCAGAGGCAGGGGCTGAGGGGACAGGTAGATGGCACATACCAATGCGGTGGCTGTAGTGATCTGGGTGCCCCCAGAGGCACCCACCACCATGGAGACCCGGCCGTCCCGGTCCACAATGATCACAGGGCACATGGATGAGAGTGGTTGCTTCCCTGAGGTCGGTGGGCAGGAGGGGACAGAGATGCTGGTCAGCTGTCTGCCTGGAACACCAGCCCCTCCCTGCCCAAGCTCCTCACCACACACCTGGCTTGATGAAGTTGGCGGGTGAGGGGGGCACCCCAAACTGGTTGGTGATGTTAGGGGAACTGAAGTCATCCATCTCATCATTGAACAGGATTCCGCTGACAGGCGATAGCACCTTGGAACCGAAGCTGCAGACCAGTTGAGTCAGACACTGTGCACTGCCCAGCCCCACCCCACTTGCCTGGTCCCACCCACCCACCAAAACTCCAACCTGTACCCTGTGAGGTCCAGGGCAAGTGCTGTCCCAAGGTAGGGTCTGTTTCCCACCATGAAAGAGGTTAATGGAGCCCCACTTCTGGGACATGAGGACAGCCCCTGGCCCACCCAGGCCGCCTAGAGCCCCTACTAGAGGTTGATGGTGCTGGTGGCTGATACGGCGCTGCCATCCTCTGCGACCACGGACAGGTGGGAGGTGCCCCCATCATCAGGTGTGTAGAACTCAGGCTCATAGTAGGAGGCTGGTTGAGTGGTGTCATCGGAGATCCGGCCCCGGAGCTGGGCAGCGAAGAACTCGGAGCTCATGTTTCGGACCACCTGCCGAGACCCCAGAGCGGTCCTGAGGAAGTGGAGGGTGGAGGGGGGGCACAGGCTTGTGCAGGCAGCTCTCAGGAAGCCCCCGGCCATGGCTCTGTCCACAAGCCTCCTGCACCCTAAACCTCACAAGGCCCATCTGACCCCTTCTCCAGCCTTTGTCTCGGTTGCAGTCCAGCAACTCTGAATATCTGTTCCCCAAGCCTCCACTCTAGCCACATTCAATCATTCATGGAGCTTGAGCTGTGTGCTTGGCACTGGGGGATCAGCAGGGAACAGACAAGCAGGTCCCCACCTTCATGGCAGGGAAGACAAGAACAGGGACACGCTCGGAAGAACAAGCCAGGTAAGGGTGGCGAGAAGGATGTGGGATGGGGTGGAGTGGTCAGGGAGGGCTTCTCAGAGGAGGTGGCATCTGAAAAGAGCCCAGAATGAGGCCTGGATGGCAAATGCAAAGGCCCTGAGGCAGGCCTGTGAGTGGCAGGCAGTGAATTGGGTTAGAAAGACAGGA